ATTCACTAGAGTATTATACTACCGCGCTTTTCCAAATTCTTATTATCCTCAACTTTTGCGTCCTTACAAAAATCGTCTGGAAAAACTGGATCTTGAAAGTATGTATGTATTATAGAAAAATTCAAAATGATTTAATTCTAGCATTCAAGATACTTAGAAGAGAGCTGCGTTTGAAGCCTCTCAATTTTTGGACTTTTCGCCCTGTCTATAGTCGCCATCCTTCTATCGCTTTCGATTTTCAGCTACCTAGCTCGAATCATGCGACTGAATACTTGCATCTCAAGGACTGAAAAATGGCTTGAATATCTACCGCCCTCTTTATTAGGTCTCAAAATTTCGTTCCAGAATAAAAAAGCTATTTCCAAAATTGATGTTCTTGATTTACTACAAATTCCAAATGTTGAATAGTGATTCAGATTCTCCTATCTTCTTTGGCTGCTTGTGCATCACTCCTACCCATGCTTGTTTGCTTTCTCCTTCGTGTTTCGAATAGATTGATTGATTGTAACAGTTTAGTTGTCTTTCCATGTTACTTCTTTAATTCAAATTCACTCATGTGCTATTAGTCTCAGTTCATCAACTGCTCTTCTTCACCGGGGGGTCATGGCTGGGTGGTACGTGCGCGCTGAAGGTATGACGAGCGGGTCTACTGGCGGCCCCCTGTCAGTGTACCCGTGTGGTTATACTGGCGGGGGCTGCCGGTGTAGCCGTTTGTCGGGCCTTCGGGGTGCTCGCGCTGCCTTGTTATGGTCATTTCCGTTGGCGAACTAGGATGGATTGTTACTGCAGAAATTTTTAACGGGATTTCTACTCGGAATTATGTCTTCTATAGTTCCTCCCTAGTATTCATCTATTTCTGTGTACACAACCTCTATTTGAATTTCATTATATTCTCTGTGATTGACGTTTGTCTTATAATGTTTGCCTTTTCTCAATTCAACATACAGCACGCCTACGAAAGTACAAAATAAATAAATTAATGATTAAATACGAATAACGCTCAGCAGAAAATGGTCAGAAGTCAACCCAACCATACCAAACATGCTGTATATCATCGGACTCGTCTTGAAACGCTTATCCCAAATGCATGTTGATTATCTGCCAAGCGATTATCTGAGGGATTTATGAGCGTTTAAATGTGCGATTTGTCAAGTTTTCTGTGGCGCATGTTGCGCGAACTAGATTTTAAAAACACTTACTTAGGTTTTCGTTGATTGTGCTTCTTCCTTGTAATCAAAATAACTACAGCCACCGCATATCCGCGCCGTTAGGCTAACTTCTAAGCCAGATATTTGCTTGGCAGATAAAAAAATATATATAGGAGGAGATCAGCAAAAATATATATATATATAGGAGATCAGCATTTTAAGACGAGTCCGATGATATACAGCTTGCTTGGAATGGCGGGGTTGAGTTCTGACCATTTCCTCGTCAGCATTCGCGTTCAAGAGAATTGGCAGATAAAAGGATAAATTGGCTTCGCCGCTTGGCAGACATAGGTGCGAACTGCGCAGTGGAAATGATTTTGATATCAAAATCACAGTCAAAGCCAGTCTAACATCTGAAGAAAAGATCTCAGCGGATAAAACTTAGAAGTCGTTCTGAGTCTCTGTAAAGAATCCAGAAATGAAAAATAAAACCAGCGTCAAATTTTGACTGCTTTCCTCCTGTCTTCATCTTTATGTGAGCTGTAAGTGTTCACGGTTCAGTAGAACTCACTCTTCTGTTGCGACCACCTATGTCAGGTAACTATACGGTGACTCTAACTACAAAAATTGAACCCGACAGCTAACGAGGTGACAGCTGCGATGACTACGTGACGAAATTGAAAGCTGCGGCGGATATAGCGGTGAGAGGAGGGACACCAGGAAGACGGCGTTTTGGGACCCCCTGCAGCGCTGCGGCGGACTCCCCCATAGAAACCGCCAATCCGCGGCAGCCCCCGCGGCCCTGCGTTTCTCTTCTGCTCGTCTGCGCCTCCATCCTCGCGCTACCTCGCTACTCCCAGACGTTCCACGGAGCATTTGGCTCTGGTACCCTTCCTCCGTCGTTTCAAAATACAACCCCGACAAATCGTATATCGTCCTGTAACCCTTGATGTTTACTTATATGCTGAGCTCTATTTTTTGAGTTGGACGAGAAATTCAGCAAAAACCTCTTCTTCAAATTCTTTCATTCTTCCTTCTTTGCCCTCGCGCAGTTTTTCCGTGCATATAATCTTGTCTATGTCTATATAATCTGTCTCTATGTCTTGTGCTACATACATGTTGCCAGGCGTAGGGATGCACGGAAACGCCTCGTCCACAGGGACAGACCTCAAAAAATGGCGTGTCGTCAACGTGTTAAGTGACGACAAGGTGGCTAAAAGATGTTCATCTGCTTCCTTGGCGCGCTTTTTCACGCTTAAGGACGAATTCAAAGCGAAAGGGAGATTTTTGGCATCACAGGTCCCCGAGCTAGTCAAATGCGAAATTCAGTGTGAAACTTTTGATGCTCATGGACTCCGTTCTTTGCCCACACCGACAAACATCGTCGTAGTCTCCGTCGTAATCGTACATATCATACAATCCATTAAGCAAAAGAAAATGAATGCGTACTTACTTCAAAAAAGCACTTCTAGGAAAACTCAGTTTTTGCAGATTTTTACCAGAGATTTCGCAAATAAGAAAGTGAGCGCGACGATGTTGTCCATGCCCGAAATATAAATTTTGCAGACCCCACCCCCATGTGGCAAATTCCCCAAATTTTAAGAAATCATGCGAATTACGCCACTTTTGAAAAGTGGGAGGAGCCCACTTAGGGGACGGAGTTTGCCTGACGGTGGGTGGAGTCTGGCTAAAAGTGCCTGAGGTCTTTGCGTTCATCTACGGCCTCATCCATGCTTTTCTATGAACAAAAGGGTTCTTGTGTGGAGCATAGGAGTGGGCGGAGTTTGCCAGAGGGGGCGGGGCTAACATATGAAGTACATCTGAGTGTATGTTGATTATATCAACGAAAACTGAGAGGACTGGACCGATAGTATTGAAATTAAGGCCGCCGCGCACCATTGCGCGGCATCGTCTACAGGGACATACTGCCTACCGTGCACCACTGCGCGGCACTGTCGTCAACGTGTTAAACGTCGCCAATGTTGAGCTGCTGTCAACGTCATGTCGAGCCGAACGCCAACATTTAAGTCGAATTTCATGATCGCCGTTCGAGCTGTCGATACCACAACCACGGAGTCAATTTGCCGTCGATGGTTGTCTCAACTTTCGATCAACGTCTGCGCCATCTTCACAAATGCCGAAGCCCGCCGGTATCCGGAGTAGAGGCCCCAACGACTCTTCATGCCATCCCCAAGAACAACTGGTTGTCCACGATAGGCTGTAGGTCGCGCATTACATCCAGGTATTCTTGACTCGTAGGTTTGTGTGCATGTTTGACACGTATGGTCGTAGCTAACAAGGTGGATCGGGAGCTATCTCGGACCATTTTTTCTTGTTGCCCAGAGGTCGCGTATTCGCGACTTCTTTTGAAGGAGTCCGCCGCCATGCTGCAAAACTCCTAAAACGTCGTCCCCGTGGTGTCCCTGCTCTCACCGCTATATCTGCCGCAGCCAAATTCGTCATAGTCGTCGCAGCTCTCACCTCTGAGCGGTCGGGTTCAACTTTTGTCTCCAACTCCATCGATCGATACAGCGCCTTCCCCAACTCACGCATCGTCTACACCTAGCGTACTATGGAGAGCTGGCTTCCGCGCTGACGAGGTAACCCCGGGAGCGCTCGCGCCTTACACATGTCGGCGACCGCCTCGGGAGGTTTCCAATTTGCAGACCCTTAGGTTTCAACATCTGGTCTTGGCTCTGCCCTTGTGTGATTATAGGGAATTTGTACGGGAAATTGGTGGGCATTTAATACGTGTGTTTATCTATTGTACGGTGGGCCACAGCGGCCGTGGCTCTGGGAATAGTGTAACATGTGTGCTTATCTTATGATCATGCCCAGAGTGACAGATCGGTGTGAGGGTTGGCACGATTCTAGGTGCCTGGGTCATAAGTATAAGCCCCAAGTGTTGGTGGTTGGGGACGAGAGTCGCATCGCAGGTGTCGCACCAACTGCTAAGTAAGCTGGTGGTAAGGCCCTCTATGTGTGCATGGCGTAGTATTGTGGCAGGCCCAACGGCTTTCTCAGTAATGCCACCACTTTTTCTAGAGTAATTACGTTGCACCTTTTCCCGGCTAACGAATCCCTAGCTCCTGCGCCGATGCAAGAGGCCCACAACACCACTGACGTTGCGAGCTGGGGGCCCAATCTCAATCCAATCAACAGAGGCATTTAGCACCGTAAATCTTAACAAAACTCTGCAGCATTATAAATCGTTCTGATCGCCATGAGACGAGTGCATGCCCTGACAACAGTCGAGGTGAAATAGTCCCCAAAGAGATAAAGCCGCTTTCCGTGTGCGACTCTTAGTTTTGGGCGCAGTCTTTGGATTTTGCTGAATTGCATCAATCTTCAGGATTTTCGAACTTCATTCATTTAGTGCAATAACCGATTAGTGAGATGATTTGTTGCCATGTTCAAAGAGATTCTTACAAGAATATATTTTTGTTGTGAAAAAAGCTATGAAAACGTTCTTGATGCTTCTGGAATTATTCAAGTTATCATTCGCTTCATTTTCTTCATTCACAATCGTTTTATATGGTCTTGACCTTAGTGTCCGGGACTCTGTGCCACATGTTCTGTTTCTACAGGTAGAGACCGTGGTTTCTTCTACCACTTTTATTTTTACCACTCTATTTTGAGTGATACGTGACTTTAGGTATCCAAGGTAGGCTTTAACTAGTTATATCATGACTATGTAAAGCAACTGGTACTTTTTATTGAAAATTTTTCATGAAGCTCAGATACTCTGGTATCTGCCTTTTGTCCCGCAGAAGTACGTCAACAGAATTTCTCTTCTTCTTGTAATGTACTGAAATCGTCACTGAAACGAAGTTTTCATTTGCTTTATACTGATTAACCAGAAAAATGTTTGTTTCCCTCTTTGCTTAGATCCAGTCCTGCACAAAGAAAATTATACATTTCATTAGATTTATTATTTGCTCCATTTATGTACGATCTTTTTTTATAACTTTGTACAAATCCCATAGTGTTTCCAAGAAGGCCAACCACTATCTTTCCTTCCGTTTTCTGCAGCAATTTATTTCCATACTTCATTGTATTCATGGTGTAGGCATCTCTGAAATATTTATATTATTCTTTAGGCTGCAAAAATATCCATAAATTTCTGTACCTGTTGACTACAATACCGCACACACTCTCCTTTTGTGCAAACTGTTTCACCGTTGGTCTGTAAAAGCTGCCAAATGGGCGGAAATCATCAAAATTCGCCGGGGTTTCACCGCTTGGTCCCGCACCGTAAACGTTCCAGTACCTGAAAACTTTTGGAAATCTTGTGATCCAAAGTTGAAAAGGTTACCCTTACCATAGCATGGCATTCCCGACATTGGCTCCTTTTGTGATCTGATCCCAATCATAGGCGCTCGTATAAATTCCGACGGCGATACCATAGGACTGAAATTTGGCTAGTTGAAATGAGTTATTTGGAAAAAATTGTCCATATGAGTATTACATTAGCTGCCATGATGATGTCATTGAGGAAGTTAATGTTTTCTGGAGTGTTTGGTCCCCAGTTCACAGGAGAAGTAACCTAAATAAGTCATTCACATGCACGCCCCCATTTTCGAATTGATTTTTCGCTTACCTGAATCCAAACGGTTCTAAGTTGGATGTTTCCATATTTGAGCCCCTCATAAAGTTCTCTGAATTGCTCACTGCCTCTCTTCATGGAGCGCAACAAGGGTGTCATGAAAACTTCAGTTCCAAGACCAGCTAAAGAAATTCTTTGGGATTGTTCAAAAAGAATTTTGAGACTTACCTTGATAAGCGCTGCGTATGTTGTTGACAGCATTAGCATCGAACATGCCCACACCGGAAGGATCGTAAGCCCTAAATTTGCCCTTGAGCTCATAGTTATTGTGCAACATAATATTGAAGGTTACCTGATAAACACAGCGCTATATCCATTTGATTTGATGCAGGAAAATGTGTTATAAGGTACTGCTCCTGATAAATCTAGTGCATATGCGTAGTTATAGAAAGTCTGAAAATGTTTAAGCATTGGCTGTTTTTGCTTGTAGTTAGAAAACATAGAAGCTTACCTGATTTACTGCAGGTGCTGCATTTACTAGGCACGCTGATACCAGAGATAAGAGAATGAGGTATTTTTCCATTTCTTGCATGTTGGAAAAAAATTTGACTTTGGCTGCCTTGTAGCTTTAGCTGTCAACGGAATTGAACCGCTTGTTTTGGGCATTTCTGATGCCCTTCACAACAAGCGGGGGTGGACAAGCAATGGCTCAGACAATTTTTTGCTGGTCATATGAAGACGTTATCAGATGTGTGTGAGTTTATTGACACAACGACAGGAAAAAATTCTCAGGGACTCTTACTATTCTGGTATGGAAGTGTTTCCCAATGAATGGCTTTGCTTATACATCATAAACAAAAAAAAATAAAACTCCCAATTCGCCTTTTCGTAAATGACAGGAATCGTCAAGAAGTTGAGTTTCTCGAAACCAAAATGTAATATTTACTAAAATTTCAGGATTTTTATAACGAAACACAGGTTAAGATCTCTCTAAAAATTTGGAGAACAGTGATTTAGTCCTGATGTTTTAGCTGGTCTCGGAACAGAAGTGTTTATGACACCATTGCCCCGTTCAAGTAAAAAAGGTGGAAAGCAGTTTAAAGAACTTTATGAGGGGCTGAAAAATGGAAAAATTGATGTGAGAACTGTCTGGTTGCAGGTGAGCTAGCCTTGTTTCTTAATTGAAATAAATTTCCATACTTGCAAGTAAAGTAATCAAGAATGGGTTCTCAGGTAACTTCGCCTATCAACTGGGGATCAAACAGCAACGAAAATATTTACTTTCTCAACGACATCATTGCCATGGCCAAGGTACAAAAAAATTGAAGATTTTTTTGTTGAGGATTTTTTAAGACAAAGTTTCATGTTCTAGTACTATGGCGTCAGAATTGGTTTCTACACAAATGTTTATGACTGGTATCACATCACCTAGGGAGCTACAGTCAGGGAGCTATGCTATGGTAGGTTGTTTGAATTAGAAAAAAGTAGAGAAATTCACTATTATGCAAAAATTTAGGTACTGGAACGTAAATGGTGGAGGACCTAGTGGTGAGACCCCTGCTAACTTTGATGATTTTCGCCCATTTGCTAAATTTACAAAGCCGACAATGAAACAGTTTGGACAAATGGAGCAAATTTGCGGAGTCACAGTCAATAGGTAATGCTTAGTTTATAACAAAAGTAAACAAGCTGAAAGATCTTTTCAGAGACATCTACTCACTAGAAAAGTCAAAGCTCTTTCTTGCCGAGCTGAAGGAAAAGCAAAGCGATGAACTGACTGTTGGCAGACTAGGCCATGCATTTACGGGATTGTTATCAGCTGCATAAGGAACATGATCTCAAGAAAAGGACCAATAAAAAATCTGCATTATAGAGACGTCATAATACATTGAATGAAGATGATTTGCCCTTACATGTGGTGAATGTTATCGGTTATTTCCAAGCATTTCCACTTTGGAAAGTTCCTTCGATTCAATCAACTATGTACAGGGTGAGCCAAAAGTCCTTAAGTCTTGTAGTTCCTCTGCTGTAAATGTACGATGCAACACTGACACAAGAAATTCAGTGGGAATCTTGTGAAGAGCACAAAATAACAAGATACACTCACATTTTGAGAAACCCTCATCTGGACTTCACACAAACCCTCACACTCTTGCGGAACGCTTCACCGTGGCACACAAGTACAGTTGTTCTCAATACATATTGGTCTTTTCTACCGTATGCCTTCTAGCCTCAACATGACGTGGATAAGTGAAGCGACGCATCGCTTTGGACTTGCGCCACGTTGCTTTTCTCATCGCGGCAAGCCAAACGAGCGTCCGCTACGCGGCGCAAGCCAGCGAGGTGACGCCGCACCAATCCACGTCATGTTGAGGCTCGAAGGCATACGGTACAAAAGCCAATACGTTTCGAGAACGACTATAGTTGACGTCGAGAATGTCTCATACCTTCGGAAAGCGTTCTAGACTGCCCAAAGCATTTGAGAAAAGTGTGAAAATCTTGCAATCAAGTTGTTGAGAACATTAAAAAAACAGCAGCTGTGGTATATATGGAGTGACTGTGAGATGGAATATTTCAGAGAATTGCAGAGCTTACAGCCGGAATTAGTGACTCAAACTGAATTGATGTTGGAGTTTTCAGCTTTCTCGGGTTTTTGTTTACAAGGAACTTTTTCTTCTCTTAGGCACGGCACTACTTTGAGCGTTTGTATCTTAATTCCACATTAATGAACAAAGACTACTGATTAGTTTTGCACCGTAAACGTAGAGTGAAGCTAGCGCTGCAATATAGAGCTCAAGATAGAGCTTCAAAAGCAAAAGGGATCATAGACGTCTGAATAGGGGGTACGCTTACATTTGGTTGTCCTCAAATCGTAGTAGTGTTTGCTTCAAGAACAATATCTTGAGAATGACAGCGCAAAAGGTATGATTTTGTTGAAGTATACTAACAACTAGACGATGTACTCATAAGCAAAACTTGACTGAAAAGCGAGTAATGCTAACAAAGTTTCTGCCTAGAAAAATTAGGCTTAAAGACTTTTGGGAAAACCCTGCAGTTCTATTCTACTAGCTTAACAATATTGAATTATAAAATGTGAATGCGTCATTCTCGTGGATCTCCTAGTCTAATTTGATGATCTGATCTATTGATCTGCAATCAAGCCGTTCTACTCCCTTTTAATCGATCTCTCTCATTCCATGATACTATATACCTTACCACTCTTCCCACTCTTCCAAGGAGCTATGGATCCCGAAAATGCCACGCTTTATATATATTTTACTCTCGGTTTTTGGTAGACTGCAAAGATCCTTCAGTTTATAAAACTTTTGTCATGGATTCCGTTTTGCCTTAGAGAGCCTCAAAATTGAAGATTATTTGCATTTCCTTTCCGTAAAAAGTGAAGATTATTTTTAAAAAAACTCAAGAAGAGAATTGTAACAGAACAGCACAAGCAAAAGGAACTGTTGAAAAGAGCAAAATACTGCAACTTGATATACTATCTTTCTTTTGGCGGCTTTTCGCAGGTTTACGCTTCAGGACCAGCCGTCCACAACTCGGGGAGGCAAGGAAAAGCTAAATTCTTTTTTGGCAGTTGTCTCAAGAATTACGGTCTGGAAATGGCAATTGCTAAAAAGGAAATAAACACGAAAAAGAATAGTTATGAAAACGAAATGTTGTTTTTATAAAATCACTATGCACATCAACGCTCCTATCTGAATTTTTATGCGCGTCCTTCAAATTTTCAACCTCGTGTTGTATTCCGTTTCCGACGACGTTGTCTGTGCTGTCCCGTTCATCATTATGAGTAAGAAACCTCTAAGCAAAAGAAAATGAATTTGTTTCAAAAAACACTTTGAACAAAACTCAGTTTTCGCAGCCTTTCATTGTAATTTTCGCAAACAAATAAGCCCGACGATGTTGTTTACATCGTAGACATAGTCAAGATTTTGATCACAAAACCGCGTGACAAGGGCTAGAGTAGGGGAGAAATGAGAGGAATTCGAAAAGAGAGCTTTTGCTGAATTCGTCGTTCAACTCAAAAATAAGAGCTTAGCGTTTACGTAAACACCAAGAGCTACAAGACGATATACGATTTGCCGGGGATGGAATTTGAAACGATGGAGAAAGGGTACCAGAGCCGAATGTCCCGTGGAACGCCTAGGGTGCAGCGAGGTAGTGCGCGGTATGTGAAGGGGCAGACGAGCAGAAAAGAAACGAAGAACCGCAGAGGCATCTAACTCTGAACGTAGATCTGTTGTAGAGCCGTCCCTATATTGGAACTTGCTCACTCACTATAGGCTAGGTCGATATGGTCTTTGTGGTTGCGGCGTACCCGCCGCACCTTGATATATTTGTGTGTGTTGTTCTCTAGTTATTCCTAGTGAACCCTCGGCATGTACGCCGATAGGCAGAGGGGGAACTCTTGTGTTTTTCTAATAAATCGTCAACGACTCAATGCTTTCCACAACAACTGGCGATCAGGATCAAGGACAAGAAGCCTCCACCGACCAAGGACCAGAAGCCTCCATCGATCAAGGACAAGAAGCCTCCACCGACCAAGGAACGAAGAAGCTCCACCGACCAAGGGCCAGAAGCCTCTATCTATCAAGGACGAGAAGAATTGCTGCAGCTCGGATCGGGGAGGAAGCTGTCACAGGTCGAGGACAGCCAAACAAGTAAGCTCTGCTAAGAAGATTATTGATTCAACAGAAGAAGTCGTTGAGGAGAGGTCCACCGTGCCGAAAGCCAGTGAAGAACGGCATGGTCACGACTCTCTGGAGAAGGTCCTAGCAGTCATGATCGACCAGATGCGGCTCCAACAGGAGGAGATGAAGCTGTATATGCAGCTTCAACAGGAACAGATGCAGGCTCGACTGCAAGCTCAGAGGAGCAGATGCGAGTGCAATTACAAGCTCTACAGGAGCAAATGCAGGTGCAACAAGCACAACAGGAGCAGATAAGGACGCTAGACACCACTCTGGTCAGTAATCACGGAGCCATCCAAGACATCAGCAAGGATCAGTACGATCAGCTGAGTAAGGAATTGCAAAGGTTCGTCTCAGACGAAGAGACAGGTAACACCTTTGCGTACTGGTATGGTAGGCACGGATCGGTCATTCGCGACTCTCAGCTTTCGGATCAGAAGAAGCGCGACTTGATTCTCATGAAGCTGGATGAGGACGCATACAGGAAGTAAGGAAGTATGCCGATGAGGTTCTGCCTGCGCAACCAAGCGACTTGGACTTCGATACCACTGTCGCGAATCTTCAAAAGCTGTTCGCCTCCAAAAAGACGCTCATCAGAAGACGTTATGAGTGCCTAAGGATAACGTGCCCTCCGCTTACGCCAGCGTACGTACCGTTTTGCGAGTACGCCAACACTATCAAGCGGATGGACGAGGACGCCCGGCTTAAGGAGGTTGACTACACAGCAATGAAGACGCTGCAATTCGTAGCAGGTCTTCAAGATCCCTTACTCAGGGAAGTTCGCCTTCGGATGATTCGTCGACTGGATGCTCACACGGACGAAGCACCATCGAGAATCGAGGACGTAGTCGCAGAATGTGAAAACTTCACTGCCCTGAAAATGGATAACATGGACATGGAAGGCACGCGCGACATCCATGTAGTGTGGAAGAAGAAGGTAACTTGTTTCACGTGCGGAGGACTACATTTCAGAAAAGACTGCCCACAATTTGCCAGCACTAATCGGAAGAAGCGGCGGAAAACAGGAGCGCAGTTTGGCCGCAGAAGACAGTGCAAACATGTGGTCGCTTTCGATGCCGAGAGCGCGCGGACCTACCTCGACGTCGTGGTTAGAGGATGTAATCTCACGATCAGGCTCCAGCTGGACACAGGTACAGATATAACGCTGATATCACGCAGAGCCTGGAAGAGGATGGGATCCCCGGTCCTGGAACCCTGTGTAATGCCCGTGAAAACTGCAGGCGGGACATCGATGAAGATATATGGTAAATTTTCGACCGATTTCAAGGCCAAGGATCGAATCACAGGGAAAACCGTCTATGAACATGGAACTTGCTACGTCACGGAAAGCTCGAATCTCCTGGGATTGGAATGGTGCATCCAGTTGCCAGCCTACAAGAGGTTGACCAAGTACAACTGCAGAAAGGTGACTAGCGTAGAGAAAATCCGAGCCGAAGTGGTCGCCGACTTGAAGAAGAAGCATGGGGAAGTCTTCCACAGCGACCTAGGAAAGTGCACGAAGAGTAAGGGCATCAACAGAGACATCAAGGACTCAGTGCGCCGCTGTAGGGCATGTCAAGAAGCAGCCAAGATGCCAGTGAAGACTGTACTGCATTCATGGAAAATGGAACAGAAACCATGGAATCGACTTCATATTGTATTGACTACGCAGGGCCGCTGAATGGTAAGATGTATCTCGTCGTAGTTGACGCTTACTCGAAATGGCCAGAAGTTTTTGAGATGCCTCCATCGTCAACTAGCTACCCTAAGAGAACTCAGATCACTATTCGCTCGATTTGGAAATCCACAAGTGATCGTGTCGGATAATGGGACTCAGTTCACAGCAAGGGAGTTTAAAGACTTCTGTAAAGAGAGAGGAATCAGGCATATGCGTGCACCACCATTCCATCCGCAGTCAAATGGACAAGCGGAGAGGTTTGTGGATACCTTCAAAAGGATCTTCCAGAAAATTAAGGAGGGAGGAACGGCAGAGAAGCTTGCGGAGTTACTGCAGTCTTATCGACGAACGCCTTGTACAACTGCTCTAGGACAACGTTCGCCTGCCGAGCTGCTCCTGGGACGTCAGATAAGGACACCACTGTAGCTGCTGAACGAAGACTCCACAGAAGAAGGAATGGGCAATGAAGCTATGGAGAAGCAGTTCACGCCGTCACGGAGCTCTAAAGAAATCGTACCAACAACAAGAAGCCGTGTGGGTACGTGATTTTCGCTCTGGATGTGAAAAATGTCCAGCTCGAGTGAAGAAACGCTATGGAGAAGCGCTATATGCCGTGCTTACGGAAGACGGACACTTATGAAGACGTCATGCGAACCAGATGCGCCGCGCAGCAAGTATGAATCGTCATCATGACTCAAGGAATTCCATTCCCGACAAAAGCCGCGTAACAATGGTACGGATGCTGTTGAACACCAAGACACCTCGACTGCGTCACCGACATCAACCAGACCAAATCGCCATCATCGCCCACCAGAACGTCTACAAGTAGATCCTTATTATAAGATGTACCGTTGTTCATCTTAGGAGGGAGGTGTTGTAGAGCCGTCCCTTATATTGGAACTTGCTCACTCACTATAGGCTAAGTCGATATGGTCTCTGTGGTTACGGCGTACCCGCCGCACCTTGATATATTTGTGTGTGTTGTTCTCTAGTTATTCCTAGTGAACCCTCGGCATGTACGCCGATAGGCAGAGGGGGAACTCTTGTGTTTTTCTGAATAAATCGTCAGCGACTCAACGCGTTCCAGTACAAGATCCTAACAAAACTCTGCCACATTGATCACTATACGACTGGATGCCATGATAACGTCGTCGAGGCTGATATATTCTTCGACGAGTTAAACTTGCTGCATGCAACTCTTGCTCAAGTTTTAGGCACAGGCTTTGGATTTTACTGCATTGCATCATTCAGGGATTTTCGAAGCTCATTCATTTAGTGCAACCACCTGTTACGTGAGATTACTTGCTGTTATGTTCAGAGAGATTCTTACAAAAATATTTTCTTATTGTGAAAAAGTCTAAGAAAACGTATTTGATGCTTCTGGAATTACTTACCAAGTTATCATTCGCTTCATTTTCTTCATTCACTATCATTTTTATATGGTTCTGACCTCACAGTTAGTATCCGGAGCTTCGTCTCACATGTTTTGTTTCTGTAGTTAAAGGTAGCGTCCAGGCAGATCTGGACCTATGGGGATTTTACGTAGAAAGTATTTTTGGGGCCCTCACTAAGGCACTGCCCAAGCGGCGCAGATAGTGCTCTAACGGCTAAGATATTCCTCTCGAAACTGGACCCCGCGATTGTATTCGCATGGATTCATGGCAGTTCCGCGCCAGGATCCACGCTTTGGGCCATGAATCCATGCAAAATACGATCGCGGGGTTAGGTTTCAAGGGAAATATTTCAGCCATTATAGCACTACCTGAGCTGCTGGTTGGGCAGTGGCTTAGTTAGGGCCTCAAAATCCCTATCCACGTGATATCCCCACGCGTCCAGTCTTCCCTGGACGCTGCCTTCAAAGACTGTGGTTTCTTCTACCACTTTTATTTTTACCACACTATTTTGTGCAGTACATGACTCTATATATCCAAGGTAGGCTTTACCTAGTTATGTCATGATTAGGTAGCGCAAGCGGTACTTTGTATTGAAAATCTTTCAAGAAGCTCAAATACTCTGGTATCTGCTTTTCGTGCCGTAGAAGTACTCTAACAGAATTCCTCTTCTTCTTGGAATGTATTGCAATTGTCATTGAGAGCGGAGTATTATTTACTCTATGCTGATTAACCACAAAAATGTTTGTTCCCGTCTTTGCTTAAATCCACTTCTAAACAAAAAGACATTTCAGATTTATTAGTATCTGCTCTATTTACAATGTTTGTTTATACACTTTGTACAAATACCATAGTGCTTCCAAGAAGGCCAACCACTATCTTTCCATCCGATTTTTGCAGCAGTTTACTTCCATACTTCACTGTATTCATGGTGTAAGCGTCTCTGAAATTATATTATTTCTTTATGCTATAAAAATATCCATAAATTTTCGTACCTGTTGACTACTATACCGCACACATTCTCCTTTTGTGCAAACTGTTTCACCGTTGGTCTGTAAAAGCTGGCAAATGGGCGGAAATCATCGAAATTCGCTGTCGAAATTCGCTGGGCTTTCACCTCTTGGTCCTGCACCGTAAACACTCCAGTACCTGAGATCTCGGGATTACCCATGTGATCTTTAGTTGAAAGGCTTATCTTTACCATAGCATGACATTCCCTACATTGGCTCCTTTTGTGATCTGATCCCAATCATAGGCGTTCGTATAAATACCGATGGCAATACCATAGGACTGAAAATTGGTTTGTTAAGGAGTTTTTCGAAATAATATAACATTGTAAATTTTACCTTAGCTGCCATAATTATGTCGTTGAGGAAGTTAATGTTTTCTTGGGTGTTTGGTCCCCAGTTAACAGGTGAGGTAACCTAAATGAGTGATGTAACTGTAAAAAGCTAATTTCGAATTTACTTTTACCTACCTGAACCCAAACGGTTCTGACTTGAATATTGCCATATCTGAGCCCATCATAAAGTTCTCTAAATTGCTCACTGCCTCTTTTCATAGAACGCAACAAGGGTGTCATGAAAACTTCTGTTCCAAGACCAGCTAAAAAATTATTTGATGAAAGAAGTAATAATTTCAAGTGGAATTTGTTCTTGCCTTGATAAGCACTGCGAATGTTGTTGACAGCATTAGCATCGAACATGCCCACACCGGAAGGATCGTAGACCCTGAATTTGAATATTACTCTTGTGAAATTCTTTAGAACTTGCTGTGAGTGTGGAAACCTTACAAAAACGGCGCTATATCCATTTGATTTGATGCAATTGAATGTGTTATAAGGTAACGCTCCTGATAAATCTACTGCATATGCGTAGTTATAAAAAGTCTGGAAAGTCGTTATAATTTGCTACCATGTGCTCGAGGTCAGAAATCGTCGAAGCCTACCTGATTTGATGTAGGTGCTGCGCGTTTACAGGGCACAGTGATATCGATAAGAGAATGAGGTATTTTTGCATTTTCTGCGCTCTAGGGGCTAACTTGCCTTTGTAGCTTTAGCTTTAGTTGTTAACGGAATAGAACTGCTTGACTTGAGCATTTTCAGTGTCCTTATAAATGTAACATCACAACAAGCGGAGGTGGACAAGCAGTGGCTCAGACAATTTTTTGCTGGTCATGTGAAGGTCTTATCAAAATATGGGCTTACTGATGTCTCAACACCATTGTATGATATCATTGAAGGAAAATTTTTGGAATATTCTCACATGCGGTAATGATTCTTAGTAACTGTGTTCATACATTATAAACAATTACATAATAAAATTCACCAACATGGCCTTCCCGTGGACGATCCAAATTCCCGTGGATGATCCAAATCTTTGAAAAATAAGCTATTGAAACTAAACGGATGTATTAAGCACTTCACGAAAAGATTGAAACACAATTGGGATCTCTTTAAAAGTCATATCAATACAAAATAGATTGCTCCTTTTCGGAATTACTTACTTCTGTAATGAAACAATAGTTTGAATAATTGTTAAATGACCAATGATTTGTGACTGTCTTTTTCCATGTCACTTTTGTTTTCCTGAGTTTTGAAACTAGCTGTTATCGTTTTGTTTAAGTTCCCTTTTTCTGTTTTTGGGCGTGCATCCAAAATTAAATAACGGTACTTGTTCTTACCCACATCCTTTGTAACGACTTATGATGCATCGCATCTACGTGATTGACTAGACGGACATTGTTTTTCTTCGTAACGTCTTGAACTCCTTGATGGACATGATTAGCTTGAAGCTTTTACAATCATGTCTAGTGCCTACTCCCCAGATCCAAAATTTTTTGCATGGATTTTTTTCTTTTTGAGCTGCCGGAAGTGTTTATCAGTAACTAACTTTTTTGTGAAAGCTGACGAGTACCTAGAAACATCAACAACAATTTCCTAAAAGTGATGACAATTTCTAGCACGTTCTTCATGACGTTCGAGCACTTGTCCACCCACGACGCTGATAAGGACAATGTATAAAATAGACGTTATGGGGCAAATAAGTCAGAGCATCTTGGCTCTTACATAAATAACCAAAAGGTTGTAAGCAAATTCAACTTTCGTACTAAGTCATCTTAACAAGGGACTTTTTAGCGATGTCTATCTTTTTCACTTTATCACTAGTTATTGCCTGCTGCTATGCTAAAGCTATCGTCCGGGAGCCAGTTCTGGTAGGTTAAGCTAACATCATTTCTGTGAATTGCTTTCTAAAACTTACCAATCTTGAGCTGGGCAAAAATGAATGCAAAAATGCACATGAATGTTTTAAGGCTACTACCACCACCTATGCTTATGCCGTGGACCTCGATCGGCCTGTAACTGTGGCTGCTTTTGAGTGTATGAAAAAATCGGGTTACAAAGCTGCCATCATAAGGTAGAGCCACCTGTTGTATAATCACCATTTCGTCCTATGAAGTTCATTTTTAGAGCGTACGATCCCGCAAATAATGGCAAATTCGATGGCAACGCTATTAGCAATATCCGCAATGCTAATCGAGGTAAGAAATTTACATAGCTTTTGAAGAGCAATGGTTTAGTACTGATGTTTTAGCTGGTCTTGGAACAGAAGTGTTCATGACACCACTGCCCCGTTCAAGCAAAAAGGGTGGAGAGCAGTTTAGAGAACTTTATGAGGGACTGAAGAACGGCAAAATTGATGTGAGGATGGTATGGTTACAGGTAAGCTACCCTCAATTACCTTCTTCTTAATAAAGTGATTGTACGGTAAATGAATTTCAGGTAACCTCGCCTGTTAATTGGGGATCTAATAGCAACGAAAATATCTACTTCCTCAATGACATCATATCAATGGCTAAGGTACAAAAATGGAAGATTTTTTTGAAAACTTCGAGATAAAATTTTATGTTCTAGCACTATGGCGTTAGAATTGGTTTCTACACAAATGTTTACGACTGGAATCAGATCACTAAGGGAGCTGTCGTTGAAGGAGCTATGCTATGGTGAGTCGTTTGCCTAAAAATGGGAGAAGTTACTTGAAAGATTTAGGTACTGGAACGTCAATGGTGGAGGACCTAGCGGTGAAACACCAGCCAACTTTGACGATTTCCGTCCATTTGGTAAATTCATGAAGCCAACGATGAAACAATTTGGACAAATGGAGCAAATTTGCGGAGTCACAGTTAATAGGTAATGCTTACTTTATAGAATTGAAAAGCAAGCTGAAGGATAGTGTTTTTAGAGACATCTACTCACTAGAGAAGTCAAAGCACTTCCTTGCCGAGGTGAAGGAAAAGCAGAATGATGAACTAGTCGTTGGCAAACTAGGATATGCACTTGCGGGACTGTTATCACCTGCATAAGGGAACAAATGCAGAGAGAAGAATCCCAGGGAAAAATGCTTTATAGACACGTCATAATACACCGAATAAAGATGATTTGCCCCAACATGTGGTGAATGTTATCGGTTATTTCCAAGCATTTTATCTTTGGAAAGTTCTTCAACGATTTAAACAACGATGTAGTTGAAGTGTACTAGAGCTTAGCCAACATGAGATTATTAAAATCTGATTCAGCTAATATCGTGGATCTCCTGATCTGATTTGATGATCTGATCTAATAATGATCTCCAGTCAATTTGGCGAGTCATTCCACTCCTTTTCGATCGATCTCTCTCATTCCATGATAGGACTTACCTGATTATTCCTCTTAGTAGTTAGTATCCCGAAAGTTTTTGTGCCACACCTTACTCATTCTACTCTCGGTCTTTGCTAGACTGCAAAGATCCTTCAGTGAAAGTTTTGGTGCTAATGGATTCCATTTTGTGCCCACACCGACAAACATCGTCGCAGTCTTTGTCGTATATACAAATCATGCTAACATGCAAAAGGAAATGATTGCTTACTTTCTTCAAAAAAGCACTTCTAAGAAAATTCAGTTTTTGCAGATTTTTATAAGAGCTTTCGCAGATAAAAAAGTGAGCGCGACGATGTGTTCTTGATTGTAGACATAGACAAGACCATGAAATGCACGAAAAAACTGCGTGAAAAGGGCTATTGAAGAAAAAACGAAAGAATTTGAAGAGGAGGTTTTTGCTGAGTTTTTGTTCAACTAAAAATAGGAGCTCAGCATATAAGTAAACATCAAGAGCTACAAGACGATATACGATTTGTTAGGGTTGGATTTTGAAACGACGGAGAAAGGGTCAAATGCTCCGTGGAACGCGTGGGAGTAGCGAGGTAGCGCGCGATAGATGGAGGCGCAGACGAGCAGAATAGAAACGCAAGGCCGCGGAGGCTGTCGCAGATTCGCGACTTCTTTCAAAATAAGTCCCCCGCAGCGCTGCAAAGGGTCCTAAAGCGCCGTCGCGGTGTCCCCCCTCTCACCGCTATATCCTCTGCAGCTTTCAGATTCGTCATGTAGTCATCCCAGCTGTCACTTCGTGAGCGGTCGGGTTCAACTTTTGTATTCCAACTCCATCGATCGATGCAGCGCCTTCCCCGACTCACTGTCGTCTACACCTACCGTGCCCTGGACAAGTGGCTTCCGCACTGACGAGGTAACTCCGGGAGCGCTCGCGCCTGGCATACCTCAGCGACATCGCCTCGAGGGATTTCCGATTTGCTGGCCCTTAGGTTTTACCATCTGGTCTTGTGCTCTGCCCATGTGTGAATACAGGAAAATTGTACGGATAAATGGTGGCCATTTGATACGTGTGTTAATGGATTGATGTGGTGGTCACAGCTCGGCTGTGGCTCCGGGGATAATGTAACACTTTTTGTGTTTATACTATAATCATGCCCAGAGTGACAGATCGGCGTGAGGGTTGCCACGGTTCCAGGTGCCTGGATCATAAGTATAAGCCCCAAGTGTTGGTGGTTGGGGGCGAGAGTCACGTCGCAGGTGTCGCATCAACTGCCAAGTACGCTGGTGGCAAGGTCCCCTATGTGTGCATTGCGTAGTATTGTGGCAGGCCCAACTAGCATTCTCACACGTAACGCACCACTCCTTCCACACTAATTACGTTGCACCTTCTCTTGGATGGGATCCCTGGCTCCTGCGCCGACGCAGGAGAGCCACAACACCACTGACGTTGGGGACTGGGGGCCCAATCCGCGACAGGGGCATTTAGCACCGCAGAAATAATAGATGTGGGACGTCGTAGATCTTAACAAAACTCTGCAGCATTACAAATCGTTCTGATCACTATGAGACGACTGGATCCCCGACAACAGTCGAGACTGGAATACTCTAATGAGATAAAGCCGCTTTCCATGTGCAACCCTTAGTTTTGGTGCAGTCCATGGATTTTGCTGGGTTGCATCGCTCTTCAGGGATTTTCAAACAACATTCATTTAGTGCATAACCGATTATGTGAAATGACTTATTGCCATGTTCAGAGAGATTCTTACAAAAATATTTTTTATCGTGGAAAATGCTACGAAAACGTTTTGTTGCTTCTGAAATTATTCACCAAGTTATTATTCGCTTCACTTTTTTCATTCACAATCATTTTTATATGGTTCTGACCTTACTATCCGGAACTTCGTCCCACATGTTTTTTTTTTCTACAGGTAAAGGTCGTGGTTTTTTTTGCCACTCTTATTTTCACCACTCTGTTCGTGATATATGACTTTATCAGTGGCGTCCCAGGATTTCGGCTCGGGGGGAGGGGGGGAGCGCGGCAAAAAAAATTATCACATGAAGGTGCGTGGCGTCAGCCACGCCCCCGAAAAATTTTTTTAAAAGGCTAATTTGAATTTTTAAAAAATTTTAAAAAATATTTTAATTGTTTACGCCCCCCCCCCCCTTCGGTACGCCACTGGACTTTATGTATCCGAGGCAGGACTTTACCTAGTTATGTCTTGACTAGGTAGAGCAACGGTACTTTGTATTGAAAATCTTTCGTGAAGCTCAAATACTTTGGTATCTGCTTTTCGTTCGGTAAAAGTACTCTAACAGAATTTCTCTTTTCTTGGAATATATTAATGTCGTCATTAAGTCTCATTTGCTCTATGCTGATTAACCACAAAAATGTTTGTTTCTGTCTTTGCTTAGGTCCACTTCTGCACAAAAAACTAGATAGTTCATTAGATTTATTACTTGCTCCATTTATGTACAATGTTTATTTATACACTTTGTACAAATCCCGTAGTGCTTCCAAGAAGGCCAACCACTATCTTTCCATCCGATTTTTGCAGCAGTTTACTTCCATACTTCACTGTATTCATGGTGTAGGCGTCTCTGAAATATATTGTTTCTTCAGGCTGCAAAAATATCCATAAATTTTTGTACCTGTTGACTACTATACCGCACACATTCTCCTTTTGTGCAAATTGTTTCACCGCTGGTCTGTAAAAGCTGGCAAATGGGCGGAAATCATCAAAATTCGCCGGGGTTTCACCACTTGGCCCCGCACCGTATACGTTCCAGTACCTAGGAATTTTTTAAGAAATCATTCGCATGATCTTTAGTTGATAAAGGTTCTCTTACCATAGCATGGCATTCCCAACGTTGGCGCCCTTCGTGATCTGATCCCAATCATAGGCGTTCGTATAAATACCGATGGCAATACCATAGGACTGAAAATTGGTTTGTTGAGGAGTTTTTCGAAAAAATATAAAAATTTTACATTAGCTGCCATAATTATGTCGTTGAGGAAGTTAATGTTTTCTTGAGTGTTTGGTCCCCAGTTAACAGGTGAGGTAACCTAAATTAGTGATGTACATGTAAAAAGCTAATTTCGAATTTATTTTTACCTACCTGAATCCAAACGGTTCTGACTTGAATATTGCCATACCTGAGCCCATCATAAAGTTCTCTGAATTGCTCACTGCCTCTCTTCATAGAGCGCAACAAAGGCGTCATAAAAACTTCAGTCCCAAGACCAGCTAAATATTGTTTGATGAGAAGCGAAATAAAAATTTTGAGTGTATGTGCTTGCCTTGATAAGCACTGCGAATGTTGTTGACAGCATTTGCATCGAACATGCCCACACCGGAAGGATCGTAGGCTCTAGATTTGAATATTACTCTAATGATATTTTTTAGAACTTGCTGTGAGTGTACCTTACAAATACGGCGCTATATCCATTTGATTTGATGCAGGAAAATGTGTTATAAGGTACTGCTCCTGATAAATCTACTGCATATACATAGTTATAAAAAGTCTGGAAAATTGTTAAGCATTAGCTGTTTTGTGTTTGTGGTCAGGAATCGTCGAAGCCTACCTGATTTGATGTAGGTGCTGCATTTACAAGGCACACTGTTACCAGAGGTAAAAGAATGAGGTATTTTTGCATTTTTTGCAAGTTGGAAAAAAATTTAACTTTGGCTACCTTGTAGCTTAAGTTAAGTTGTTAACCGGAATTAAACCGCTTGACTTGAGCATTTCTGATGCCCTTATAAACGCAATATCACAACTAGCGGGGGTGGACAAGCAATGGCTCAGACAATTTTTTGCTGGTCATATGAAGACGTTATCAAATATGTGTCAGTTTATTGACATATCAACGACACAACGACAGAAAAATATTCTCAGAGACTCTTACTATTCTGGTATGGAAATGTTTCCCAGTGAAGGGCTTTGCTTGTACATCATAAACAAAAAAATAAAACTCCCAATTGGCCTTTTCGTGTACGACTGGAATCGTCAAAAAATTGAGTTATTCGAAAACAAAATGTAATGTTTACTAAAGTATAAGGATTTCTCTACGAAACACAGGTTGAGATCTCTCTAAAAATTTACTTTGATATGGAATTTAATGAGATTGAATAATGCATTTCTGTGAAAGCAGCGGAACAAGGTTCAGAATGTTGGTAAACTCTTTCTATGAAAATTTTGCCCATATCTTTCCTGACAGCCTAAGATGTGCCGCATAAACGATTAACTAATTGATTGTCGTCTTTCTATAACACTAAACTCTTCGATAGACGTGATATACCGAAGACCGGAAATCTTTGTCAGTTATGTCTAACGCTTGACTTCTCCAGATCTAATTTTTTTTCTGTATTTTTCACTTTCCAAGCTGCCGGAAATGTTTATCTGTGCTTTTTCTTGGAAACTGATTGAGCTTACAGACACAATAACGTCATCTCAAAAGTGATAACAATTTTCAGCCATGTTTCCCATGACGTCCACGCACTTGTCCTCCTACGACACTGATAAGGACAATGTATAAAATAAGCAGTATTGTACAAGTGAATCAGAGCATTTTGGCTACACATAAATATACAAACAAAAGGTTTGTACACAAATTTAACTTTCGTACTAATTGATCTAAATAGGGGATTTTTAGCTATGTCTACCATTTTCATTCTCCCACTAATTACTGCCAGCTGCTACGCTAAAGCCATTCTTCCGGAGCCAGTTGTGGTAGGTTAAGCCAAACATCATTTCTGTAAAATACTTTTTAATATCTGAAATTTTGAGCTGAGCGTAACATGCACAAATTCAGGCTGCTACCACCACCTATGCTTATGCCATAGACCTCGATCGGCCTGTAACTGTGGCTGCTTTTGAGTGTATGAAAAAATCGGGTTACAAAGCTGCCATCATAAGGTAGAGCCACTTATTGTCTAATTACTGTTTCGTCCTGTGAAGATCATTTTTAGAGTCTACGATCCCTCAGACAATGGCAAACTTGATGTCAATGCTGTTAGCAACATTCGCAATGCTAATCAAGGTAAGCAGCAATTAGCTAGGTTTCGGAAAGCAGTGATCTTGTTTTGATATTTCAGCTGGTCTTGGAACAGAAGTGTTTATGACACCATTACCCCGTTCAAGCAAAAAAGGTGGAGAACAGTTTAGAGAACTTTATGAGGGGCTGAAAAATGGAAAAATTGATGTGAAGATGGTATGGTTACAGGTAAGCTACCTCATTACCTTCTTCTTAATAAAGTGATTGTACGATAAAAGAGTTTCAGGTAACCTCGCCTGTTAATTGGGGATCCAATAGCAACGAAAATATCTACTTCCTTAACGACATTATATCCATGGCTAAGGTACGAAGAATGACCTTTCTGTTGAGAAATTTCCAAGAAAAAATCTCTGTTTTAGTACTATGACGTCAGAATAGGTTTCTATACAAATGTTTACGACTGGAATCAGATCACCAAGGGAGCTACGGTCGAGGGAGCTATGCTATGGTGAGTTGCCTGAATTAGGAAAAAACAAAGAAATTCGCTGATATGCAAAAATTTAGGTACTGGAAGGTCAATGGTGGAGGACCGAGCGGTGAAACACCTGCCAACTTTGACGATTTTCGTCCATTTGGTAAATTCACAAAGCCGACAATGAAACAGTTTGGACAAATGGAGCAAATTTGCGGTGTCACGGTTAATAGGTAATGTTCACCCTATGAAAGTAAAAAGCAAGCTGAATAATAATATTTCCAGGGACATCTACTCCCTAGAAAAATTTAATCCCTTTCTTGCCGAAGTGAAAGAGAAGCAAAGCAATGAGCTGATTGTTGGCAAACTGGGACTTGCACTTACGGGATTGTTATCAGCTGCATAAGGAAAACACTTAGAAAACTAATAAAAGAACTACTTTATAGAAACGTCATAATACATTGAATAAAACTGTTTATTTTTACATGTGTGAGTGACTTGGGTTAGTTACTTTCCGAGTAATTCCCATAAAGAAGGTACCTGAGAATTGTTCCAATATTGGTTCGGAAAAAATAATCAATGTTGGAACATTTAAATCTGACTTATATGGCCAACATTACGACAAAAAAAAAAACAGAATGGAGTGTAACAGGCACTGGAAGTAAGGCTTGACAATGATGGCGCAGTGCCAACGTGCGCGAAATGCGCGGCAGTGACCGAAGTTCGATTCCCCGCCAGTGCGTGACTTCAACACGCTTCAGTCTACACATGACTGCTGTGTCTGCTATGCACGCTATAACAAATCCGGATTTCGCTAGCACCACGTCCATTGACTGGAGTTTGATAGTAGACCGGAGCACATTTGAATTCAATGTGAAACAGAAAAATAGAATCTTGACCCATTGACGGATTTTCTAGCTTTTATGGTACTAACAATTGTAATTTTTTCACAGCGACATAAAACATTTTAAAGAGTAGCATTTGCTAGTAAACTTGCTTTCAAACAAACCAGTAATCTTTTTATTTCCACGGTACCTTGAAGGCAGTGTCCTACCAAAATTTCCTTTCTCGTTTTCCACCTTTACATAGCCTTTTCATCATGCTGAAACCACACCTGGGCTTTTTCGCGCTTAAATAGGGTTAAAATTGAGTTTTTTTTCAAGCCGCGTTTGTGCAAATTTATTTGTAAGTGGGCGGGTCTGGAACGAGGGGCGGGGTGTGGAAGAATTCTGAAGTGAACTTTAGACCTTTCATCTGCGCGTTTTGGCTCCAAACATTATTGACAGATTATGTGAAGGGTCTACTATTGCGATGCTGTGAAATCTCAATATAAATAACTTTGCCGGGACGCTGCTTTTGATGTCTTTTGAGACTGAGATACAAAAATCAAATTATTCCCATTTATACCACCGGATCAGAGTGTTCAGCTCTTTTCTACCTTATTTAGAGGTGTAACCCTTTAAAAACAGATGCCTGAGATCGCGCGCGCAAGTTATGCCCAGTACTTCATGCGAGCTTCAATATGTCAACTGGCATGATGCCAGAGTACTTTGGCTTCAGTCCAGAAACATGTGTGGGTTGTTTCGGAACTTGTACAATATGTGTGAAAACGAGTTGACACAAGTTGAAGACCGCAGACATGTCAAAGGCGCTGCTGCTTTAGCGGTCATTTGACCACATTACCATTTCCGCTTCTTCCTCGACTCGTTGCTAATGCTTTAGATTTTGTGAAGGATTCATTTCACGTAATAGTCAAAGTAAAGTGCTTGACACTGAAATTCATGACACTCGACGTTGCTACACTTGCGCAACGTGCCAAAGTCAAAGTTTTGATCTCTCAATCAATACAGCGCATTCATCATCGATTGATTTCGTGCTTCACCCCTCATTTCGAAATGTTTCCCTATTCGAATACGCTTCACTTTTTTTCCTGTCTGCTACCGAATTTCGTAGATCTTCACGAAATTTACAGGATCTGACTTGCTTGCATTTAGTATTACGTCTTACGCCACTTCTGCTTTACTTCACTCATAAGTCCACAGTGAATTCTGCTGAAGCTTTGCCATGGATTAAGTCATGCTGAACACGAATTTCGTATAAATTCGTACGGTAGCACCATTCCCCGGAGTTATTATTTTAGTCATACGGTAGGAGTGTCAAAAGTGTGAACTTGCAAAACCATTCATGGGCCAGGCCATTGCTCAACGTTTTCCCCCTCTCCTGTATGTCTTACACCCACCTTCGACTAAAAAGGTCCCTCGAAATCAATAGCATGGTAATTATTGACACAATTTCCGCTGGATTCTTTTGACTCCTTCGAATCAGCTTATTTCGAAGAAAAAATGCGCTAGACATTCGTGCCAAAGAGCCACTTTATGCAAAGCCTCAGAAGAGATACGGTTTTTGGGTACTTTGTCGTGCAAAGTAGAGTATTTCTTTTTCTTTCATATTCCTGTTTTTTCAGCTTAGAAGGCTAAGGTCTATCGCGTTTTCCGAGGAAAGTGAGACTTCTCAATAAGTCCTCTCAGGTGAATCATTATCAAAGGAAATATATAATTTGCTTCAAAAGTACAAAAGAGGCTAATGTTCACATCACCGGTGGAATCCTGAGAATTCAAGCATCAAAGCTAAGCTAATGATAAGAGACAATATAACACAATTTTATTCGCGGAGCTCAGCTGTCACAAGCAATTCTTGATATATATTGAAGTCACTTTGATTTAATTTTCTTCAAGAACTGGCCGCAGTCTCACCTTGCTCGGTAGGCGAATCTAAAGACAGTGCTTGCTGATTTATAACTAGCTGGCTTACCCGGCTCCGCCGTATCCGGACCAAACTTGGCACACATACACTTCGGGCCCCGGCAGGTGTCACAGTCCACTTTTCGTTATCGATCGATGTCGATTTTACCGATTTTTATCGATTTTTTCGCAGAGTTCACCTACAGGGCTAGGAGTTGGCACAGGGGGGAAGTGAGCATGGGAATTCTGAATACAATATTAGATTTCAGAATTATCGGTTACTTTTATTGATTTTCTCGATTTTTTGTAAATTTTGACATGCGAGGCTGAGATTTTGCACAGGGGGGTAATCGAGCATGCTGATTACGAACACAATATTAGTTTTCAGGATCGTCCATTACTTTTATCGATTTTATCGATTTTTTTGTAAAGTTTGACCTGCGGGACTGGGAGTTTGCACAGGGGGTAATCGAGCATGCAGATTACGAATACAATATTAGTTTTCAAGATCGTCCATTACTTTTATCGATTTTATCGATTTTTTGAAAATTTGAGCTAGGGGGCTGGAATTTGGCACAGGGGTGTAATCGAGCATGCTGATCACCCCCCTTGGGGATGATCAGCATGCTCGAATACCCCCCTGTGCCAACTCCCAGCCCCCTAGCTCCAACTTTGCAAAAAATCGATAAAATCGATAAAAGTAATCGATAATCCCGAAAACCAATATTGTATTCGGAATCCCCATGCTCGATTACCCCCCTGTGCGAACTCCCAGCCCCGTAGCTCAAACTTTGCAAAAAAATCGATAAAATCGATAAAAGTAATCGATAATCCTGAAAACCAATATTGTATTCGGAATCCCCATGCTCGATTACCCCCCTGTGCCAACTCCCAGCCCCGTAGCTCAAACTTTGCAAAAAAATCGATAAAATCGATAAAAGTAATCGATAATCCTGAAAACCAATATTGTATTCGGAATCCCCATGCTCGATTACCCCCCTGTGCCAACTCCCAGCCCCGTAGGTGAACTCAGCAAAAAAATCGATAAAAATCGATAAAATCGATATCGATCGATGACGAAAAGTAGCCTATGACACCCGCCGGGGCCCGTAGTGTATGTGTGCCAAGTTTGGTCCGGATCGGTTCAGAAATGGAATTTTCTATTCGGAACATACGTACACACATACATACATACAGACAGACATACATACATACATACAAACAGACATTCAGCTTTATATATAAGATACTTAGATAGTCACTTTGGATTATGGCATCTCACACTTATAGGGAAAAAGAACTGATGAGCGTTTTGCATATATCAATTTTTCTGCTATCTTTTGATTAAGTGCCATAGTTGCAGCTTCAAAACTTCGTCCATCAGAACCATGATCAATTTAGGAAAATAGGGAAATGTTGGGATAGGAAGGTTTTTTAGAGCTAAGTTCAGCTAGAATCTCGTGCATCTTATCAAAGTCATTCTGAAACCAAACCCGTCACAAACATTAAAGGCAGCGTCCAGGCAGATCTGGACCTATGGGGCTTTTACGTGGAAAGTACTTTTAGGGCCCTAACTAAGGCACTGCCCAAGCGGCAGCTCAGGTAGTGCTGTAAGGGCTAAGATATTCCCCTCGAAACTGGACCCCGCGACCGTGTTTCGCATGGATTCATGGCAGTTTCGCGCCAGGATCCACGCTTTGCGCCATGAATCCATGCGAAACACGGTCGCGGGGTCCAGTTTCGAGGGGAATATCTCAGCCATTACAGCACTACCTGAGCTGCCGCTTGGGCAGTGCCTTAGTTAGGGCCCCAAAAGTACTTTCCACGTAAAAGCCTTATAGGTCTAGATCTGCCTGGACGCTGCCTTCAAGAAACGAAAACCGATTGAGACTTATTTGAACACTTTGTCTTAACATCTTCCATTTCAGTCCCAATTTTTTCTTGAATTTCTCGCTACTGGTGAGCGAAGAACTTGAAAGCACCGTTTGACCAGACTTTCAACTTCCATGTTTTTGTTTTTGCGGGACCCTCTCATGTAACTGACTCAGAATATGAAGTCGAGAGTTTGCGAAAAACACGACAATTCCCCCTCCGAAGAACCTGCAGGGATCGAGTCGAGGTGAACGGTGATTGGTTGGGCAGGCACGGGTGGGGCAGGCACTACTGGAGGAGGCGGTACCGTCTAGGAGTTCTCTGCTCTCTTCGTTGATCCGGAACGAATTTCTCGATTCCGAAACGACATTTTGAGCCGCGACTTAGAAATGACTTGATAGGGGGCCCTACCATCGTAAGATGTCAAAACCTGAAGCCCACTAGGGTGAACGGTGCCTTTAAGTTTGCTATATAGTTGCAAATAAAACTGCTTCAATCACTGTCGAACTTGCTGTGGTTTTCTAGATGTTGCCACAAAACACAATTCGAGGTAAACAAATTTCAGCTACTCTTTCGAAGTGAAATGATGAACTTTTAATTTATCATTATTTGTGACATATAATTCTAAATTTGCTAGCTTATGGCAAGGTATGATTTGTAGGAGTAAATTTAGGCGATTCATACTCCTGAATGAGAATAAGCCAAAAAAAAATGCTCACCACTTTCAATCAAAAAAGCTGCTTTATGGTACACTATTGTACTTACTTTGTTTATTATAATTATAGTGAGACAGGGAGACTTAAGGCCTAAGATATACCTCTCGCGATTTCGCGAAATCGGCACATCCTCGCGACTTGGCGATGTGCCAGATGTCTAGAGATTAAGCATGCGAGGCTCTCAGATGCATGGGTGCGTAGATTCCGTAAATTGTAACAAACACAGCAAGTATAGCCCAAGAAAGTGCGTTTACGACCAGCTATGGAGAGTCGTTGCAGTGCCAAATCGCGCGGCGACTAAAATCGCGTGAGGTATGCCTTAGGCCTAAGGCCCCGGACAGACTTCACGCGATTTGAACGTCGCGACTCAGCCGCCGACATTTCCATTCATTTTCATTTCACATTCAAAAATTTCGGGCTGGAAAAGCAACACAACCGAAATGCAAGTTGATCGGCATGGAATGATGTTGTAATAGTACGCGATTTGATCGTCGCGATTCAATCGCTACTAGACAAGTGTTACGAGTTCATTGCATGCTGATCTTCTTGTATTTCAGTTGTGATGTAGCCACGATTAGTCGTCGTGTTGGAAAACTATTACAACGAAATACAAGAAGATCGGCATGCAATGACTCGTAAAACTTGTCTTGTAGCGATTGAATCGCGACGATCAAATCGCGTGACTCTGTCCGAGGCCTGAGATCTCGAGATTATGTATCAAATACCAAAATAGCAACTTGCTACCTTGTTTCTCATCCCCAGTTGTTGTTTCACTTCCCCTTGTGGTGCTTCAAATAAAGTATCGAAATCTCCTGGAACTTCGCACGCCGCCCTGCATGCTGCCATGCTCACAAAGTTGTTATCGTTTCCATCGCATCCATTGTATTTGAATTGAGTGCAAGCGCCAGATAATGCATCGTAACCATAGCTAAATGAGATTTAAGAATCAAATTTATGCGATAAGATTTATTAGAAGCACATTTGGCAGATAATCAATTTCGACTCAAACTTTGAGCTTGAGGGGAAAGTTTTTATACAGCTGGGATTAGTTAGCATGCTGTTTACGATTGCATTATTGGCAACCAAAGATATTCATCTTCTTCATCGATTTTTATCGATTTTTTGCAAAGTTAAGCTGGGAAACTGGAAGTTCCGGACTAAGCATGCTTAGCAGATAGCTTGCAGGGAACTAAATATAGAATTAGGATAGGAGAAACAAATGCTGTTCACGTAAGTAGACGCAGTTTTACCATAGGTTCCCTAATTCACAAGTACAAGGTGCATCCGTTTCTTTCAAACTCAACAAGCCTACAAAGCAAAAAATATCGCGACCAAGGGAGCCTCTACTGTGCTCTCCGTACTCAAACGTCAAAGAATCGTTGGGAGAGCGATGTTCGAGAGCAGATTGGTGAGCAGCTTAAAAAAATGCGAAAGGTGTGGCTTGTGCTCGTGAAATTAGGGTATAGATAGCACTTAAATTCTGCAAATAGTCTAGCTTTTCTCTACTTGAATTGGCGCATTCATTCTTTGGCATAATATTCGAAAGAGAGCTACGTATAGTTATTGAAGCTATTATCTTCTATTGGAGCTGCTAGGTGGGGCGGGCCACTAGGGCGGGACCCACCCACACGACCCAATAAGAGCGCCCGCCCCGGAAGTTTTAGAAACTCAGTTTTCCCGGAAGTATTTTGCGATTCTGAGCAAATGTGCGCAAATCACCATGTAGTTATTGAAGGCTAGCCAAATTCGAGATTCTACTGGGATAAAGAAATGAAGACGTTTGCAGCCTAAATCAAGCACATCAAGCCGGAACTATACAAAGATTGTTGGTGGAAAAACTTCTAACAATCCTGTATAGTTTCGGCAAGATATGTCTGATTCAAGCTGCCAATGGCTCATTTTTGTTTTCAGCTTTGTAAAATCTCAAATTTGATTAGCTTTCAGCAAATGTGTAATTTCGTCTACTTCGCTATCAGAAATCAACAGCTTGCCCACATTTGTAGTGCACTACCTAGTCTACATCATGTTAGAGAATGAATGCGCCAAATTCAAGAACAGGGAGGTCGAAATCACTTGCAAGACTTATTTGCCAACCTAATTTATGCTAGCTAATGTAGATAAAACAAACTGGTCCACTTTGTTGGCAGGACGCTGAACAACCTAATACCTGCTATTACGTTGTGGTAGTTCAGCTGGGTTTGTAACAGCTTTACTAGCAGTCAATCTCTAATAAGCTACTTCTATCACTAGAAGACACTCCTACCAGTGGCCGTATTCATCAACGAACCCTGAGGGTTAAACTTACCCTCCAGGGTTGGTTGACCCTCAGGGTCCATTGGCCGTATTCCTCAACCACAGGGTAGGGTTTACCACGGAACGCGATCCATCCGTATCGATCAACGAACACTGAGGGTTAAACTAACCCTGGAGGGTTAAGGCATCAGTTACGCGTGCGCTGTGCAAACTCACATCACAGAATGCCTAAGTACATGCTAAATTCACTTTATACTTCTATTCTTTCACTGTTATAGTGGTATAATCAACGAATAATCTTTTAACACTAGTTTTTATAATACATCTCTAGCATTTTTGTGCAGCATCCAATCTTACAGCGTGAGTTTATTTTCATGTGTGCAATTGTGCCATGTAAGTTCTACTTTCGCGCAGTTCGTTTCATACCGAGCTTGTGCTACTCTTTTAGGGGTTAATGCGTATTATAATAAAGGGGTTTTCTGTTTTGGCACTTGTCAGAGTGGAATGCGCAACCATTTCTCCTCGTCGCATTCATTTGTCACCAAAGCTACATTTCTTTTTCTCGCGAAGTCAGTGTTTCATGTACTTCGAATTTTAACATAGAACGAAGTCGAAACTAAATACTATAACAACAACTAATACTAATTACTACAATACTAGTTGATCGTTCTCCATAAAACTATCAGATGCGAATAAATGTTTGTATGAAGTGTTAGGATAGAGTTAACCTTGCTCTAATTTAGGGTTTATTACCCTTCAGGGTTAGTTTAACCCTCAGGGTTCGTTGATGGATACGGGTTAAACGCTTTCGGGGTAAGGTTTACCCTCAAGTGTGGATTTAACCTTCAGGGTTAAGCCTACCCTGTGTTTCATGAATACGGGTTAATCGCTTTCCAGGGTTAAACTAACCCTCCAGGGTTAGTTTAACCCTCAGGGTTCGTTGATGAATACAGCCACAGGTGTCTGTCACGAATCCAGAGCGGAAAAGTTCAAAGTTCAGCATGCGGTGTCAATGCACCATGAAATTTGTAACTTCTCCTCTCTAGATTCTTTGTAAGACCTTCTGTTTTCTATCAAATCAAAGAGGAAGCCGTCAGATCTCTGAGAATACAGGGCGTCGCAAAAAATGTGACTACCATGTGATTTTAATAACTCTCTTATCATCAAATCTATCAAAAAAGCATTTTATAGAGCTGGCTTCAACTCAGATTTATAGTATGGAGCGAGTTAACGGTCTCCTTCATTACTGTAGTATTACGGCAGGATCTCGTAGGCCACGCTGAGGTAAGCCGTTCGAAAAAAAATTTTAATCTGAAAGTTTGTGTAGCAAGTTTATGCATGCTGATTTCACTACATAACTTTATGTGTTCGTAGAGCTTCTTGAATGGTTTAATCAAATTTTGATGAATGCCAAAAATCTGTCGTTACGTCGTATCTGCCATAACTTATGAGAAAATCGTTACGGTGAAGTGCGAGTTTCATATTTAAAATCAGCGATAATGATTAAAGCTAGTGTATGAGTTTTCTGCTTCTTTGGTCTTTTTTAGGGGTAAAATATGACCCTCACTGACCAAAACCCTCTTCAAAGTTTCTACCGTAATACTACACTGATTAAGAGAGAATAGTAATTCGCTCAGTAATGAAGAGAGAACGGCAATTTGCTCCATACTGTAAATCTTAGTTGAAGCCAGCTCCACAAAATAGTACCTGAGCTTTCGCGAAAGGTTTCATGACAAGAGAGTTATCAAAAGTCAAACAATAGGCACATTCATGAGACCCCTTTACGAAGCGAGCTTGGAAAACTGCTTAAATGCAGTGTCTCGGCAAAATTTCGTTTTCCACTTTCTCACCTTTTCGCTGTGAGGAATCCATATCTAGGCTTTTCAGCGCATGAGATTGACGAAAATGAGCTTTTTCTGAAGTTTTCCAGGTCCTCATTCAACGAAAATAGTAAGTGGGTGGAGTCCGAAACGAGGGGGCGGGGCGCGGAAAACTTCCGACGTATTTTCATTGAATGCGTACCTAGGAAACATCGAAAAAGGCTCACTTTCGCCATTTTCATGCGCAGAAAAGCCCACATATTGGTTCCTTAAGGCGAGAAGGCTCCGAACAGGTGAAAACTGGGAGGCGAATTTTTGCCGGGACATTGCCTTCAAGTCCCATTGGTGAAAAGCCTTACTCAAATAGCTTGAATATTGACTGTTCACTTTCATCTCACATTAATGTGACTCTCCTTGTTATAACACAACTGCATAGTGGAAAAAAGCTTACCGAACAAGTTCTTTATCGCATGTCCCGTGATCTAGCATGTAGAAGCATAGACGACGACTTGGAAGCACTGAAATATGTATCAAGCGCACACCTTTCATATTATGAACATTCCGTTTGACCCTTTCGGACTTGATCTGTAAGACAAACAACTTTTTAAGCATTGCTCATCAATTTAAGAACATAAACATTATGATTATAAAGCATTCTTTTTCCTTTCCTATTTCGATTTGAGTCCTTTTCGGTTCCTAATTATTTACATATTTTTGGACTCTCATTACCTCAAATGTTTTTGACCTAATATCTCTGGAACACCTAAAGCTAACAAGGGAAACACGTTTAATCGAAGTGGCCTTTTTAGATAGGATTTGTCCCATACTGATGAGCATAAAAAGCTGATTCCAAACCTACCTTCCTCATTGGGGGACATTTATGGACAATAATTGGCAGGACATTTATGGACAAAGAGTTAGGAGCGCTTGGAGCGAAAAAATGAATTGCAGATAGTACAAAAATAGTCTCAACGTTTTTTCTAGTGCTTTAACGGAGCAGCCATGATCATCCGAGCACTTTATTCAATAAATATTTGAGGGCTAGTAAGAACTTAGCAACTCATTTTGTCGACAGTGCACGTCTGATTTTTCGCTCCGTAAACGCTCATGACTCCTCGTCCACAAATCCCCACAAAAGAAATTTGGATTTGAAATCAATGGTCTATTCTCTTCTTCGTGGTTACATCCCATCTAAAAAGGCCACTTCTACTAAACATGCTTTCTTTGTAAGAAGGCTCGGGAACCAAGTTTATAAATACAGGAGCTTCATAAAGTCTTGAAGATAAGTTCGACTGCAGTCTTTGCGCCCTTGGGTATCACCAGAGCGTGAACCACTGGAACAAAAGATTGCCCTCTAGTGCGCAGCTCATGACTTTCGAAAACTAAGAGCCATTTATGCAGGCAAGGTGTCTCATGTGCAAACAGAACCTAAGAAAACGCAATTGCTAAAACGTACTCGGCACGCGCTGCCGCCGCCATTGTCACGATTTCTGATTGCCGTATGCCTTTGGCAGTACCGCTGATTTTCCGTTGCACCAATTATAAGACTTTTCAATCAGATAAACAACTGACGTTGTCAGATCCGGAAGGGTCAGAAAACGTTCGAAATCCTAATTTTTTTTTCAATGGTGTTTGAGATGCTAACCTCTGTCTGCCATATTCATGGCTGAAACAGATGGTTGACAGAATCGCTCACAGCGATCTTTTGTCTTGAAGTTGTTTGAATTTCCTCCACAACCAAGGTACTTGAATGGAGTACACTGTCCCAATTCGCTGTCATAGGCGTACCTAAACCTGAAATGTTAGCGGAGCAAAAAAGTGAGGTATGCTTAAATAGACCAACCGCGTTGAAGCTCTTACGTCTTCATCACAAGTGGGGGAACCTACACTGATAGGCTGTGCACATACCATTGGAAAAACATTACGCACTCCATTTGCTAGGTGAAATGCACCGTACTAATTCTTTTCTACATGATTTATTCAAGCATTACCTTCGAGAACGCACATGAAAAGTATCACAACTGATCTCAAGCCAAGCATTTTTACCTAGAAGCAAACGCTGCGTGTATGTTTCAAATTTGAATGATATAAAGCATCAACCGTAAAATTGATCAATCGTAAAGTTTCTTGTTGAGCGAATTCTTCTTTAGGGGTGTTAAATGCAAATCAAAACCTATAAACGTTTTCGATGTTCGTGTCCACGGAAGGTCTCCAGCATAGAATGCTATTTTCCTTGAACTGAACCAAACTCTAATCAATCCAATGATTTCTCGCCAAATTGCATCACAGCTGCGCGCTTGAAAATCGGTAGCAGATTTTTTCCCTTCGCCCTTTTCCTGAGCCTCGCATGAAATGCTGATTGGAAGTGACATCTGGATTGCAAACAATAAAAATGGGTAGAAAACAAACAGTGGCGGCTTGAGAAATTTTCGTAGGGCGGGAGGGGGGGGGGAATAATAATCTAATAAGGGCGATTAGTCTTTTATGACGTTTTTGCAATAATTTTGTAAAAAAAACATGTCACACAATTTTGTAATTCATGCTGTAATTCATTGTAATTTATTTGCTTTGCATTTCCAGCTCCAACTTTGGAGCGAATTGAGGGCTTCGAGAAACCATGATGTTAAGGCGAAGATCTTTCAGAGGCTCTCTGTGCTCAGACAATCGGTGCCGTAGCTCCGGAGGACAGTCGAAATCTGGAAGAGCTGCGGAGGACCCTATTGACCATTGAGAGCGGGGCGAGGGGGCGGTCCCTTTCTGTGACGTCACGGTGACGTCACAAGAAGGCAGATGGGACCCCTCCGGCGGGCTTGCAAATCTCTGCTCCGGAGGTACGCTAGATTTGGGAGAGCCCCGGAGCACAGATTTGCGCTGCGGAGGTACGCCAGATTTGGGCCACCTCCGGAGCACAAAATGGGAGGGCTCCGGAGCACAAATGGGAGGGCCCCGCAGCAGAAAATGTGAGGATTCCGGAGCATAAAACGGGAGGTCTCCGGAGCATAAATGGGAGGGCTCCGGAGCACGAGTGGCAATCCCTCGCTGGGGAAGCCTCGCGGCTCTGCCATTTCTGCTCCGGAGGTATGCCGTCGACTGTCTAAGTGGTCATGACCTTAGCGCCGCCCAAATCCATCCCTGCGTCCAGTCGACCACCTGTGGAAATCGCTGGGTTTCAACAGCGTTGCGATAGCAGACCTTTGAATCAGACAGTAAATTCCGAAGGGAGACGGCCCTTCTGAACCCACCGTCTATTACAGTAACCTCGCAAGTAGGACGCGGGCACCTGCGCTGCGGCCATTGCGGATGAGTCTTCTGCGGAACGCTTTATTTTCGAAAGTCTTCAGCGCACCCCGAGGTTTCCTTTTCCAGCATTCAGATCTGAACGCAGTAGTAATCCCCACCTTATCCAGTCCCATTTCTGTAATGCTGCTACTCGCTCCATTTTACTATTCTACGGCCCAACTTTATCCTGATAGTATCAATCAGGTTTGTTTTCAGAAACTTGTTTTGAACTTGAGTAGTAATATAAATGGTTTCTCATCTCATTTTGATTAATTTTACTGCCACATTTTGTTTGTGTGCATCCTTTCTGCTTCGTGCATTGTTACACGTTTAAACGTTGTGAACTGCATGATGCGTCGAGAGGAAAGCACACGCGATCCGATCCACAATTCAAAGTACAACAGATGGTTTTCTTTGAACTCTGCACGATACCTATTAATTTATAGTTTTTGCTCCAAACGACTTTCGCCCAATACCAAGGCATGTATTTGGTAGCATCTAGTTTTTTGCGCAAACGCTGCTCCTTCTTGCTAATTTTCGGGGTTGTGAATGGAATTTTGAAAGTTCATAGGCCACCACTTGTAGCTCAAATTTTTAAGCTAGACTCTAGAACTTCTCAACTCTCTACAGTCACGAAAGTGATATCCGCCGCTTTCCTAGCCTGGAACTAGGCACTCAATTCCGAAACAAAAAAAATTTAACTCTAAATGGGAAGACCGCCCATTCAGCGACTTAAATGAGTTTGGGACTACATGTCGCCGATAGGCTCTACAGTCTGCCCCAATCTCAACCAGGCCAAAATTGGCATGGCGAGGGTCCGCGTCGGGGTTTCGCGGTCACGCCCACGGCCTGCTCCTCTGCTCTCTCTTCAGTTCTTTTGCTCTCTCCGACAGCGCGCATATGCAGCGCAGACCACTAGCGCTGCGGGCGCGCAAATTTGCGCCGACGGTTCGACCTGATCCCGATTGGTACTCCGCACGAACAGGCGGTAAAAATCTGTAATGTCAGTAAGGCCTCGGACATACCTCACGCGATTTCAGTCGCGACGCGATTTGGCAATACTCCAAACGTTCATAACTCATCGTACGGGGTTTCCGAATGTACGGAAGATGGGGCATTTTATCAATCTACGAAAGTTATACATGCTGTACACTTGGAGTCTACCAGTATTATATATGAAAACATCTGGAAAATTGCCAGATCGCGTGGCGACTGAAATCGCATGAGGTATGTCCCTTGCCTAATACGCGCACTGCGTATTTGTTGCAGATCCGCATGGAACCCTCGTTTCGCTCTAACCACTTCAAATTCAAACTGCATGCTGGAGCGCGCATCGCGCACACTTATGAACATCGGAGCCTACAACGACTCCGTCTCCAATCTTGGGTGGTTCTACTCCACACGGTAGAGGCTATATGTCGCCGAAAGAGACGACACCGAGCGGACATGTGCAACAAATGCGCACCTCTTACGCAAGCAAGGGGTGCGCTCTAGTTGCAAATGTCCCCCGGGCCTCCCTTTCGGCGGCATACAGTCCTCAAACCTGCTACACACGTTCGGCAGTCACCAGACTTATACGCTTCATCCATTTCGCTATCAACAAGTCATTGATCTGTCCAATAGCGAAGAAGAGAAGCGGGCAAGCGCATGAGTGTGGCGCCTGCCTTCAGCGCCAAAATTACGTGTCGAGAAAAGGCCCATATTCGACATTTTGGCGCTCTCCAACCAACATTTTTATAATTGGAGAGACGTTGCGGGCAAGCTTCCAGATTGCGGTTCCCCCCGATGCTGCTGAGCTCATTTCATCCGCTTGCGTTTTCTTCCTCCCCACGCTCATATTCTCTTTCAATAATGAAGAGCCGCATGTCAAACGGTTCGGACAATATAAGAAAATCCCACCCTTCTCCATTGTAAGACCTTACTGCATCAACTTCGAATGACGCTGTATTGTTGTGCAGATGTCAGATAATTTCTTTGCGCATAGACCGCAGAAGAAGCCGCAGAACTTCAATGGAAAAGGATGACGTGAAATTGACCGAACTTCGCAGCCTTTTCCCCTCTGCATTGCTTGTGTATGATTGATCAGTACGTTTCGCAAGGGCGGATCATTCGCGAATGTGTCCTCAGTCTCGATGACAGGGTCCAACAGCGGTCATGGCGGTCATGGCCTCATCGCTTGTACACTGCGCCGCATACGCGACATATAGCTGTCCCAGTTTGGAATGGGTAGAGGACTACATGTCGTCGAAAGTGGAAGGGTCCCGCGCGGACAATGTAGCAGATACTCAGTCTGTGCATGAGTTGGAGGAAGTAAGTATCTGCCGCAGATGCCCGAATTGACCTCACACTTTCGGCGACATATAGTTCCCTATCCATCCGGAATGGCGAAATCAACAAGTTGCGCTCCCCACCGCCGTAGTTCTGCATCTGCAGTGTGCTATAGATGGTTGTGGGAGGGTTTCTGCTCTCTCCTCATTTGTGCGACTCTTCTGCCGTGTTCTCGCTCGCATACGTATAGGTCATTTACGAAATCGTGACGGCGATTCGACTGCAGTCTTTAACAAAAACACAACACAGAAAAGGCATTACACAATTCTCAGCTCAGTCACTTCCAGCGTCTAAACCTTATCACAGGTAAGCAGTAAAACCGACAGGGATAAAGACCAAGAAAATGCTATTGACGGAAATGCGTGCGTGTCGCATCTTTCGAATCTTATATATAAAGCTGAATGTCTGTTTGTATGTCTGTATGTCTGTATGTATGTCTGTCTGTCTGTACGTATGTTCCGAATAGAAAATTCCATTTCTGAACCGATCGGGACCAAACTTGGCACACATACACTTCGGGCCCCGGCGGGTGTCATAGGCTACTTTTCGTTATCGATCGATATCGATTTTATCGATTTTTTGCAAAATTTGTGCTACGGGGCTGGGAGTTGGCCCCGTAGCTCAAATTTTGCAAAAAATTGATAAAATCGACATCGATCGATAACGAAAAGTGGACTGTGACACCCGCCGGGGCCCGAAGTGTATGTTTGCCAAGTTTGGTCCGGATCGGTTAAGAAATGGAGTTTTCTATTCGGAACATACGGCGGAGCCGGGTAAGCCAGCTAGTGCTTTATACAATGCAAATGCTCGCTTGCGAGCGCGGGATTTTGAGCCATCTTGTTCAGCCCGATCTGGAGTGGGACAGACTGTACGTCAAGCAGTTTTGGTCGCATTCTGTTGCCACGCAATTTGGAGTCCTCTAGTTGTTTGGACGGACACTCGAGAACTCGCTTTTTCTCTACTTCTGTGCATAGGTTTTGGAATTCATCTTCTGTTCTGACACCAAGTCACCCGATAATGCACACGTTGTCTAACAAACTCGTACTTGTCTTCTGTCATGCCAAACAGCAAATTACGCGGATTTGTATAACGATGTTTGCAATACTTCCTCGAGTACATCAAAGTCGACTTCACAAAATCGCCCACGTCGCTTATGATGAATGCCCGCGAGCATGCCTGGCTGCCGAGGTGGCTTGCAGCCGCGCTTGGCATTCGCGCGCATGAATCATCTCAGCGTCAGTGCTCGGCAACCGCGCGCAAAGCATGCTCGCGTGCGTTCAGCTTATGGCGATATGGGCGATTTCGTGCACTCAGCTTTAGTCTTGAAGACAGCGGCTCGGCAGAATGACAACTTTTTGTTATTCATCGTTCTTGACTTCCTTGAATGAGCTGAGTCTGAAACTGTGCTTTGCAACTTCTGAAGATATCGTTAACTTTCCCGGAAAAGTGCTGTTTGGGCGGGTCGCGAAAGCGGCTGCTGGAGGCAGTAATCCAATTGCCGCCAAGATGCATACGGTACCTCCACTCATGAGCCAATCGCACTCTAGAGGGCAGCCTTACACCGTCCTCCCAATTAGCATTTTTCACGTCTGGAAAAGCGGGTTATTGATATCTTTGAAGGTGCAAAGCACATTTTGGACTTAGCTCATCCAGTAGACGAGAACGATGAACATCCCAAAGTTGTCATTCTGCCGAGCAGCTGCCTTTAAAGGCAGCGTCCAGGCAAACTGGACATACGGGGTTTTGATGTGGAAAGTTTGGAGCCCTAACTAAGACAGTGCCCAAGCGGCAGCTCAAATGGTGAACTACAGTTGGGATATTCGCCTCCAAACTGGACCCCGGGATCGTATTCGCATGGATTCATGGGGCGACACGCGTGGGTCCTCGGACGAAGCTGATGAGTCGGCCATGAATCCATGCGAATACAATCCTGGAGTTTGGAGGCGAATATCTCAACTGTGAGTTCACCATTTGAGCTGCCGCTTTGGGCAGTATTTATTTTAGTTAGGGCCCCAAGATTTCCCTCCAAGTGAGATCCCCATAGGCCCAGATTTGCCTGGATGCTGCCTTTAACTCGAAGTCTATCATATCGTTTGAAGGCCACACATGCATCGCGATTTTATCGCCTGGGTTCTCCTGAAAACAACTGTTACGAGTCCATTGCATGTCAATCATCTTGCATTTTGGTTGTGATAATTATTTGCAATCACTCGCCATGGAAGACTTTCGCGACCGAAATGCAAGACGGTTGGCATGCAATAGGCTCATAGCAGTTATGTATGCGCTTCAATGCTATGATTCCCTCCACAATCTTGCTACCCTCGTTTCGCGTCGCTAGCCTGCGGCACGTATGGCTAGCATGTTGACAACATGCGTAACATATTGCGAAAACTTTATTTGCCAACATGTTGCTGCATGTTGCCAACATGTCAGCCATGCCGCACGTCAGAGACGCAGAGCACGGGTAGCAGCAGTCGGACGATGTGCACGATGTCACGCTTGCGGCGTCTATGAAGATAGGTCGACTCCGCGCATTCAAATTTAGTGCTTTATATAGATACGGTGTAGCAATCTGGCGGCGTCTCCCGCAAGAAGGAGTTGAGACTCCTAGAAAATCGACCATCGTAAGTGTCGAGCGTCAACGTAAGTTAGTATATGTGTTGACTTGGTGTTGCAGAAAGTCTGGCGGCGTTTCCACGCGAGGAGTTGGATCCTTCCGGAAGTCGACCATCGTGAATGATGAGCAGCATCGACGTAAGTTTTTTCTGTTTTTTAATACTTATTCAAGTTACCCTTCTGCATAGCAAGGGAGTTTCAAACGCAGTGAGAGCGGTGTCAATCTTATTGTGTTCAGTAAGATGAAGTGGACATCATGTGTATATATGGTCCATTTTTGAAATCGTGACAACGAGTTGACTGCGGTCTTTGGGTTATTTCAGACTGCCGCGCTGACCGCAGCAGACTGCAGCGGACCGCACTGACCGCAGCTGACTGGAGCTGACTGCATGACCGCCTGACCGCAAGGACCGCACAGATCGCTGCGTCCTTTCGTAAAGGTGGAGAGGATTAATACTTGTGGCCCAAACAATCAACAACAAATGTCTAGACCAAAGACAATACGAGCTAGAGTAAAACAGGATATGCATGCAATAACAGGAAGAATCAGAACAGATATGAGCATACCAAAGAAAAACAATCGCCAAAATTTGATTGAAAAGAGTAAGTTGAAACCTATGAACTTCCTAGGCGTAAATCACGGTGTTTTGACTTACAAGGGAATGGTCAGAAGTCGAAGTGGCCAATCCATACAAGCTGTATACCATTCGATGCAGCATAGAATGTTGATTTCAAATCTGTCTTCCATATCTGCAGAGCGCCTTTGTAGGCGAAGTTATGGGCAGCTTTACTGCGAAAAAATCGTAAACAAAAATTGCGAAATTAGGCACATTATTGCTTTTTCAGCTCACCTCCAGGTATGGGTCATATGAAGTGATCTACTTGCATGTTTTGGTCCAACACTGAGCCGAGAATGGCTTTGTACGGCCAAGTTTGCACTTTACACGCACAATTTCTTAGCAAAATAATGGCCTTCAAAGGCTTATAATTCCGTCCACAAGAGCGCTCTGCAGATAACGAAGACAGATTTAGAGTCAGCTTTTTATGCTGCATTCAAAGGTATGCAGCTTGTATGGATTGGCCACTTCGACTTCTGACCATTTCCTTGTTAGTCGCAATTGTTTCTCTTTTATGAAACGATGCAGCGCTTTGCGGCCGTTGAGGTCAGTGCAGTCAGCTGCAGACTGCTGCAGTCTGCTGCGGTCAGTGCGGCAGTTTGAAACAACCCTTTGCGCACACCAAAGCATGAAACACCTTTACAAACAAGCAACACCTCAACGCTCAGCTCAGTCACTTTCAGTGTCTGAACACTATCATATGTGAGCAGAAAAACTATTTGAGTAGAGATGGAAAGGGATCGTTGACCGCGCACAAAGGCGGACGAAGGCGCACGAAGGCGCGTCTTGTCTCGTCTCGTTTATCTCGACACACACACAAACAGTCACACATGCTTCGTGCGCCTTCGTGCGCCTTCGTCCGCCTTTGTGCGGCTTCGTCCGCCTTTGTGCGGCTTCGTCCGCTTTCGTCCGCCTTTGTGCGCGGTATGAACGATCCCAAACCAAGCAGGAGGAGTGCGTGCGTGTTGCGTGCGCCATCGTCACATTTTTCGAATGCCCTGTAGTAATAGTGCGAAGGTTTCCGTTATGGTATAGGTAGTTTCGGACTGCGATGTGTGGGTTGTGCGATTGCAGCGGCTGCATGTCTGGGATCTGAAGCCCTTTTCCTTGTTTATTTGGAGTGATAGAACTGGAGTGTGAGTCTGTAATGTAGGTCTGCCAAAGAATTTTTTCAGTTTAAAAATGAGGATTTATTGGCGGAGAACCTTCCTATAGGACCCTGCCAGAAATCACAACATTGGCTACGGTGCGGCCTCCCTCACGCAGTATGCTAACGTTACTTCAAAGGATTTCTTTTATCTTTCACGCTTTTCATCCATTTGATACGACCCTTGCAACTCACAGCCACTTTGGGAATTGTCAGGTTGATTGCAATTCGCAAAGCGGTCACTTTGCGACTTTTAGACGTACGGGGCTTATCAACTGCGGAGTCGCCAGCATCTCTTCCTTCCGCGGGGCTGCCACGCCTGGAGTCTGCACCTCTTTCGCATGCTCTCTTATCACCAATATTCGCCTTTCCACTACCAGCGTGGGGAAGGCAAATCTTTAATCGCTAATTAAGCGTAATAGCCACGCACGCAGCTCGCGTCGCGTACGCCGCGCAGTATGGCCCAACCTTGTTGTGGCGGAGCCATGTGAATAAAACATATTCTGGAAAACTGTCAGTGGCGAGAAGAAACTCGTGACTAATGCTTAGATGTTGGATTCTGCTGTGGTTGAGTAGTATATTACTGAGCTGATACTTGCGTTGCATCCAATTCTCGACTACGCACAGACTTATACTTACTTATATACTTCAATAATAGCTTTTTTTGACATAGCGATTATGGCGACTGCCGTGCACGCCTAGTAACAAGTACTAGTTTCTCTAGTAACAAGTATACTTTGGAATGTTCGAGATTTTTTTCAAATAATCGAATAACCGAACATATTCGAAAATCAGTAATACCGAATAATCGAATTTCGAATATTTTCAAAAAGAAAAAATGTCGAATATTCGAATATCGAATATTTTCGAAGTAAGAAAATTGTCAAATAATTGAATATCGAATATATTCGAAATTAAAAAAAACCGAATAGTCGAATATATTTGAGAAGAAAAATTCGAATAAACGAATATTTTGCATCGATAATGTCGAATATTCAAACAAATTTTAAACGAATTAGCACAATGAGAGACTCCATGCAGTGGGCAACTTGGACAGCAAACGATGGTTGCTGATATAATAGCAGTCAAAATTGTGACGCTGTCATGTAGTTATTCGATTACACGAATAATATTTTTCGAATAATCGAATAACTTCTGAAAATAAGTATTCGAGTGTTCTAATATTTCGAAAATCAAAATTTTCGAATAACCGAATAATCGAATAAATCCGAAATTGACGAATTTCGAGACACTGTCCAACATCTCAGACACTGGGACCGGACGATCCGCGGCCCATTTCCGGCTGGAATTTCGCAGCGTCCGCGGGCCAGCCGGTGAATGGTTCGCGGCTCGGCCGGAGAAGGGCCTCGGCTCGTCCGCTTTTGGGCCGCGGCTCAGCCGGAGCTGGTTGTCGGGCCGTCTAGTTCATTCAGCTCGGATACAGTAGAACTGTTTTTTTATTCACTGGCACTTAGAATTACACAGTAAAAAAACAAAAATTGAAGCCACCTATATAGCGGCTTCGGGTACCAAGTCCGACGTTATCGACTTTGTCGATTTTTTGAAAAATTGGAGCTACAGGGCTGGGAGTTGGCACAGGGTAATCGAGTATGCTGATTACGAATATGTTATTGACAGGCCCGGGCGGAGCCGGGTTTGCCAACTAGTGTGAAATACTACCGACAACTACAGTGACAAAATTTAAGTGGTTTAGTGGTTTAATTTTAGCGAACCAGCCATCGGTTTGCTCCTGTGTTATCGCCATTTATTTATCGCTATTATTGCTATTTCGAATGTAATATTACATCTCTTTACCAGGCGTTAAAGGCAGTGGCCCTGAAAAACTGCAATTGCGTGCTTTCTGTTTCTCCTTGGCCTTCTGGATGCGTTTAGACCGAAGCTGTGCTTCGAAAGTCAAAGAAGTGCTTTTTATGGCGTTCTCCGGCTTTAGAGATTGCTGAGGAGGCTGGGGCGGAGACTCCCGCAGCTGAGTCGCGATTGGCTGCCTGGGCTAATCGACGTATTCGAGGCGCACAGCTATTGACTTTGGCTCACGTCGCCCTTGGTCAGGCTTTTGTCCGCGGAGCGCGGCAACCTCCGTGGACTTTGATTTCTTTCTTGCATCTCCAACTTTGTGTATCTTCTTCTTTCTCACATTGTCATAAAAAGTCATCCTGCGTAGCATTTCTCGATTTTGTCTTCTATTTGTACTCGGAGTGTCAAAATGGCAAATATAGAAAATACTAGCTTGTCAGGTAATAGGGTTCGCGATTCCCTTACCTGATGTGTAGCGGGTTTACATAAGCTTACTATAATGTTTATTATAAACCAGTGCGTCACCTCCGCTTCGCGGAGGTTCGCACTGGCTCTCCTATCCGTTTGCCTTTCTCATGTTCGCATAATGATGACTTTGAAACCCACCATGCGGTGCTGAACATCACAAATGAGTAGTAATCAACTGTTCATTCTTTAAGAATCCACGTAAGATCGGCAATTTTGAGAGAAAAAAAAACTTGTCGCAGAGGAACACCTGCGAATTTGAATAGATTGCTGAATTCATTTTGGCTTGGCAGTCGTCATAAGGATAATAGTCATTTTGAGCAAAATTTCTGTGCTAAAATCTTTTCATATCTCAAATTAAAACCTTGCCAAATCGACTATCTAAGCGATCACCACTTCTTGGTGCTGTTTTCGCAGAAAAGCAAACTTTTTGAGCATTTTTTGGGCTAGAATTCATGAGACGCAGATGTACTTGTCAGGCAAATCATGACTTCGCAAAAAGTCGAATTCATGACCTAGTTTTGCGAGCCCAAATGAGGGTGGACCCGTTTGATGCGCGGTTTTCTGAAGGTTCCAGTTATCGGATCAGCTTGTGCTTTTGCGCTGTTTACCTACATGATGATAGGGTACTACGACCAAATATTCAGCTTAAGACCTTGCCTACAACACGCTCTATGAATTTCGTGACAGACAGACATAAACACATACACACACGCCAGACAGATACGCGCTTTATCATAACAGCGAATACGTCCGTCACCCCCCCCCCCCCCCCCCGCTTCGCAAAGGCTGACGCGGTTTCAACATCCAAGTCCCTCAAGTGCTCGCATAGTGATGCTTTGAAACTTACCGCGCTTTTTGGCAATCACGAATGAATTGTAAACAGCGCTCATTCCAAAAGTTTTCCCATGTTCGATCGGTCACTTTAAGAGAAGGGAAAACCTTTGTGCCGAAGAATGAGTGCGAACTTAAATTGGTAATCCAATATATTACGGCTTGATGGTCGCTACAGAGACAGTGATTACCGTGAGTTAGATCTCCGAGCAAAAATCTCCACAAATTCTTGGGTGAAACCTTGACAAATCAACCATCTA